GTCAATTATTTCGGTGAATATAGCGAGATGCTCTTCATATTTTTTTATAATTTTAAACTCATTCCAAAAATCAAAGTAACGTACAATTTAAAAATCGGCGTAAAACAATGTTTATAAAAGTTATAAAAATAATTTATTTTAACCAAGATTAAGTTGAAATTAAAGTAATCAAATTTTGTGTTACACGCAAAAGAAAACGATGAAAATGCTTTTCAGATTGCTTGGCGGCAGTAGGATTGCAACTAAATGTTCATCTTTATCTCAATGAAATTATTTTTTTTATGAGCAATTTTTATTATTAATCAGGCCTAGCCGTTGTGGTTCAGAAGATCAGAAGTCTTCTTGAAGTCAGGCTAACCGTGGGAAGTTTTCGTGGTTTTCCTCTCCATGTAACGCAAATGCGGGTTAGTTCCATCAAGACGTCCACCACGGAGGCAAATTGCTCTCAATACTTGATCCAGGACTCTCCCTGTCTTCTGGATATGATTTAAAATTGAATTTACGGAGTTGAATATGAGTAGACGTAAACACATAATTAGGTCGGCTGTTCGACGACGGTTATAAAATTATGAAATAGATAAGGTATCAACTTGCTGAATATAAACGAAAAACTCTTCTTTTTAACTCAAATAGGCCACAAAATAAGCCACAATTTGAGTATCGAAATACAATAATATACTTGTGAAAGTTATGAAAATGACCTATTTTAAATAAAATTAAATTATCAAATTTTGCGTTATATGCTAAAGAAAACTACAAATGCGTTTTTCAGATAGTTTTTATCGGTAATAGGTATTCCAGCTAAATGTTCATTATCTGAAAGAAGTTATTTTTAAATAATCAATAATTTTTTTCCCATCCTTGATAGATGGCTCATCATCTTTGTGAATATAAGGAAACGTCCTTATTATTTTTAATTCAACCAGAAATCAAAATTACTCATAAGTTACACGGAGTACAATCATAATCATTAAAATTATGAAAATAACTTATTTCAATTAAGACTAAATAGAAATAATCAAATTTTGCGTTACATGCAAGGAGAAACCACAAAAAAGTCTTTTAGATTACTGAACGGTAATAGGATTCTAGCTAAATGTTCATTATCGCAATGAATTATTTTTTCAACAATTAATTTTTTTAATCATCCTTGACAGACAAATTGTCATCTTAGTGGATGTTGTGAAATACTTGTCTTACATTTTTAACTTTTAACCCGACCCAGAAATCAAAGTAACTTGCAATTTAAATATCAGAGAAAAATCATGTTTATAAAAGCTTTTGTAGTAACCTATATATTATTTAAAATTAAATTAAAATTTAGACAAATCAAATGTTGCGTTAAATGCAAAGGAAAACAACGAAAAAGTCTTTTAGATAATTGAACAATAATAACATTACAGCTAAATGTTCGTTATCGCAATGAATTATTTTTTCAACAATTAATTTTTTTATCATCCTTGACAGACAAATTGTCATCTTAGTGGATGTTGTGAAATATTTTCTTATATTTTTAAATTTTAACACGACCCAGAAATCAAAGTAACTTGCAATTTAAATATCAGAGTAGAATCATGTTTATAAAAGCTTTAGTAGTAACCTATATATTATTTAAAATTAAATTAAAATTTAGACAAATCAAATGTTGCGTTAAATGCAAAGGAAAACCACGAAAATGTCTTTTAGATTGCTGAACAATAATCGCATTACAGCTAAATGTTCATTATCGAAATGAATTGTTTTTTAACCATTAATATTTTTTATCATCCTTGACAGACAATTTGTCATCTTAGTGGATGTTGTGAAACACTTTCTTATATTTTTAACTTTTATCACGACCCAGACATGAAAGTACCTTGTAATTGAAATAGAGGAGTAAAATCATATTTTGAAAAACTTTTTGAATGAAAATAATTAGAATTTCCATTGAACACAAATGAAAACCAAGAAAACGCTTTACTAGCAAACTAATTGTACGCTAACAGGCTAGCTTGGAATGTTTACTAAAATGTTCTTTATTTTATTTATTTATTTATTTTTTGTAAGTACATAAATTGTGTGCTTTATTTTATTTCAAATATTTGAATTTCAGAATGATATAAAGAATTAAATTTTAAGAACATATTATTATTTTTTTTTTTAAATTTTTAAAATTTACGAATTATAAAACTTTAAAAAAATCTGAAAAAAAATGTGTCATAAAATTTGCGAATATCAGATTTTTCTGGCAAAGAGATTATCAATTATTATTAATCATTACAACTTATTAAAATCAAATAAACAAAGAACAAATTATGTACAGCTGCAATAAACAAAAACCACAGTTCACTAGATGGCATGGATATAGAGTACAAACTAGTCACTAGACCAGTGATGTCAACGTTCACCGTGACGTCCGTTTGGTCGAGTGATTGATCTTTCTGCCTTTGGTTTCTAGATTCCGTGATTTAGGCTGAAAGATTCCAGGTAACGTGAAATGAACAACACTTCCGTAACGAAGAAAGGTAAAGTGTCAGCCATTAGAAAAATTAAATTATTATATTTTATTTCGTAAGTTATTTAATTAGTTTTCATTTACTGGACGATTACCAGCTGAAAATGTTCAAAAACAGAGTGTTTATTTTTACTAAATTATTGTTTACTTAAAAACCATGCGATACAATATGTGATTTTTAAATATACCAATTATGTCTACGTTTTCCCAGCTAATGACAAATTAGAGCCACGATGGCTCTGGGGATAAAGCGTTTGTATACCAATGATGTGGACCAGATTTGAATCCCAGATGTAGCTGGTTAATACGAATTAAGCTCGTGGATCTTTCCGACCACAATGCTAACGCAAAATATATTTAGCGATCAACAAGTCACGGATCAGAATCACTTTGCCTTCAGGCTAACCATAGGAGGTTTTCGTGGTTATCCTCTCCATGTAACGCAAATTTGCGTTAGTTCCATCAAAAAGTCCTCCACAAGGACTAGTTTGTATCAATACTTGATACCAGAGTTCCCTTGCCTTCTGTGATTTGTTCAAATTTACTAGACAACGGAATTGAATATTGATAGTTGTAAACTCAACGCCTGTTATAAGGTAAAATAAAAAATAAAAAAAAGAAACTGAAAAGTTTAATCTAGCTAATTCACAACAAATATGTTTTAAATTACATATAATAAACAAATTGTTTTCATATTTCAGTAACACGCCAGGAAAACCTTCCTACACGATCAATATGTAAATATAAATTATAAAAAATTAATAACAAATGTATGTTGACTTAAATGTATTTATTTTAAAACTGCATGCTGATAACATTTAATATTACACTACTAGTTAAAAACAATTATAATCCTCTACCTTAATTATTTTTGCATGATTATAATTTAAATAAAATTCCTTGCATTTTTTTAATAAATTTTGAGGTTAGGGAAAAAAAATCTTACCATAACATTTGGTTAACGATTACATAATCAACAAAAGATCAACGAATGAAAAAAACTCAAATAAGTGTTTTCTATCTATTTTACTTAGATAATATTTTATTTCATTAAGAATATTTTAGAATATTTTATTTTACTTCAATATTCAATTAAAAAATAATAGTCGGTCATGTGAGATAGTTTCTGGGAAAATTTGTCGGTCAACAAAGTGGTAAAAATATTTGTCCATTTTTATTATGCCATAAGAAATAAAGTTTTTTTTTTGTTGTTCTTACCAAGAATAAAGACGAGAACAAATTTCCCTACAACACCTAGAGAAGTTTCAGCCAGATCCGATTATATCCTATTGTAAATTTTTTGAATAAAAACAATCACATGTTAGCTTATAAGGATGCAATAAGAGATCATCTCTTTTAATTTTCTAGATTTTTTTCAATTCAGTAACTTGAGGAATAATCTGTTCTTCGTAAGAACAATGCAGCCAATTATTCTTGAACTAATCTCACCAGCAATTTTTGATTTGAAAAAAAAAAATATTAACATACAAACCAGTCATAAATAGGCGACATTCCAATTTGAGTTTAATGACTCATCTAAGAAGGATGTCAAATGTAAATGCTTAAAAAATAATAATATCACTTTATTAATCACATTAAATACATTTATGTAATCTTATTCAATTTATCTCACACATTGTATTTCAGCAATATACGATGAGAGTGTAAACTGAGTAGAATGAGCAATTAATTTTGAAATCTCAAGCATAGTTGCTAAAAAATTTGCAGTATCTATTATTGTACGTATCTATTCAATATCTCATTCAATGTATTTATACAGGGTGTCCCGAAACGACCGCATAAACTCTGCACAGCTAGATTCCTCGTTGGGAGTACATAAAAACTGCCCAAGAAGCATTCCTGTACGATCCATAGTTTACGAGAAAAATACGAAAAACAAAGTATGACGTCACGGCCGGTGCATGAAAAAAAAAACACTTTATTGGACATATCAGCAACAGTATTTGCATATCTTTCCAGACGATAATGTTTAAAACGGACACTTTAAACATCTGATTTAAATTGTGCATTGTATACTGCTGTTGATATGTTCAATAAAGTTATTTTTCTTGCACCGGCAGTGACGTCATACTTGGTTTCTCGTATTTTTCTCGTAAACTATTGATCGTACAGGAACGCTTCCTTGGGCAGTTCTTATGTGCTCCCAACGAGGAATCCAGCTGTGCTGAGTTTATGCGGTCGTTTCGGGACACTCTGTGTAATCTTAAGCAATTTATGCTTTCAGCTATGGTAAGGAAAGAAATGATTGTGTTAATACAGTGTGTAAATATATATGAACAAAAATTAACAATGTGTTATTGTTAATTTTATGCAATGTATTTATGTATGCTCTCAGAAATATGGGATAAAGAAATTACTGTGCAAAGGAAGCAGAATTCATAAAATTTCAAAATCAAATATAAAAGCTCAATTCTCAATATCTTGCTGATAATCCCATGCAATTTATTTATGCTATCTCATGCAATCTATCTATGTATGCTTTCAGCAATATGTGATGAAGATAGAAATGACTGTGTCAATGGAGCAAAATGCATACCACTAGGAAATCAACGTTTTTGCAACTGTTTGAAAGGAACATATGGAGACAAATGTCAATACATGGGGGATTGCAATGAAAGATACAATTTAAAATGCAATTATAAGAATGGTGAAATTTGTGCATATAACACGACGTCGGAGGAATCGGAATGTTTATGTCTCGAGAGTGGATTACACTACGACACTGAACAAAGAATGTGTAGAAGTAAATACAAATTTAATGTTTTAAATATTTTGGTTTTATAAATTTTTTTTATTAATTCAATATAATCAAAACTAAGTTAATAAAATTAATAAGTTTGAAGTAATGAGTTTTTTATTACGTGAAAGTTATAAATTTTTCTAAAAAAAGAAATAAGTTATAAAAAAAGAAATAAATGAAACATGCCTATAACTCTCCTATTCAGTGAAGTCCTACGCCTCTGTAAGTTTTAGTAGGAAACTGTTTTTTCTTTAATTAAAACCTTCATTGCGTTTGAACTAATAGTAAAATTAACTTCTTTTTGGTCTCAATCAAATGAGAGTAAAGAAAAAAAATAGGACGCAGTACCTTACTTTTCTGTACTGCCGTGTCAGCTTCAGAAACAAGTACATGGTTAACGTATATGACTCACTTACTTTCAAAGAACTGTATTTTGGATAGTATAAATAATACTAAAACGAATGATACAGTTAAGGATAAACTCACCAACCAAATGTTTGGGATGGATTAAAAATAATGTGCAATATTTGTCTATCGGCAAATATTTCAGAGGTAAGCTAAGTTCGAATTTTGCGCTCAATAGCATGTTTTAATCAATGTTTGATACTGCAGCAGTAATGCACATTCTTGCAGTGTTCGTGGTACATAAAGTTGTGAAGGACACATTTTAAGAACACCCAATATCAACTTGAGGACAATGCCATCAACACTGCAGAAACGCATAACGTCAGGCATTCATAGAAACATAATATTAAAAGTAAATATGGAACATAGTGTACTATTGGGATGTATGCCAATAGATTAAAAGTGCACACTTTGAATATTTTTAATTCCTGCCAAACATTTGGTGATTGCATGTATTTTTCAATGTATCACCCATCCTTGTCCGATATATTCTTGAAAAAATACAGTAGTTTGGAGATCCTTCAGGTTAGCCCAGCATGAGTACAAAATGTCTGTACATTTCATACTCTCAAATTACGAGTTTTGTTGCCCGTCATTGTTTTTCTCATTCTAAAATGCACAAAGAAAAGAGAACTCACAATACTTAATAAATGCATCAACGTTATTTGCTGTTTTTCGAATGACATTTAGACAAGTCAGGTTTGTGATCTAAGTCATGAAGGTGCGCCCTTCGCTTGACAAGATATCACCACAAAAAGCGAAAGAGTTAAGTACTTCTTAGCTTAGAGCACCATTGAGAGATAGCGACATTATTCATTTGTGAGGTCACTTCCTCAGTTTAGACATAGATTTGAAGGGAAAGGAAATTTTTTCCAGGAGACAGATCACAGGACTTTAGACACCCCGAATTTTACATGTACTTTTTACATGAATTTTACATGTAATTTTACAAGTATATGGAATGAACTCGGTAGGTCTCAGCGTAGTCGAAGATAGAAACCCATCTCTTCTGAACAGGAGTCTAATATTTTGATTATGTATTACCCTTTAGTTAAAATCTGCTTGTTTCTAAAGATTATATATTGTGTCATTTTTTTCAGATTAGGCTAAATTTTTAAATTTTTGTTTTATCCTGCGAAATATTTTTGAAATGCCATGTGTTTTGAAAAACTAACATTTAATTTTACCCTTAACGTTAGTGCTCTCTTTTAGGTTCGACTTGAAATGTAAAACCTATTTTCTAGGTGGCATGGAATTTTTGATGAATTGCATTTTATTTTTAAACTTAATTTTAGTTCCACAAAACATACAACAGTTTAATATACTAAGATTACCATCGAATTATGTTCGTAGCCAAAACTTAAATGTATAAGGGGACATGAAATTTATTTTATATTGCTTTTTTGCATTTTGATATTTCAATAAAATTTCTAAATCTGAGATATAATTTCACTTTCAGAAACATGCATGGTAGGAAATCATGATTGTAGAAATAATGCTACCTGTGAAAGGGTCAGTAACTATGGTTTCTGTGAATGTTATCCGGGTACTTCTGGACATGAATGTGAAATAGTTGAAGGATGCGATCTCATAAACTGCAATAATACAGGTGCAAGATGCGAGTATAACAGATTTTTTAGAAAAGCGGAATGTGTTTGTGATGATGGTCTGAAGTATGATGAATCTATATCTCTATGTAGAGGTAAAATCAAATTAAAAAATTCTCAATTCAAGCATAAATACATAATATCAAGTATCCTTGTAATATGACTATGAGCATAACACTGTGCTATTGGTATTTACTTAGTACGAAAGGTTTTGAATAAGTTTTAATTTTTAAAAGACTTTTCTTTAATCCAATCATACTTCTAAATCAATTTGGTCAAAGCGAATTCATAGTGATACAATCGTAATATTTGTTTTTTAATAAAAATATGTATCACTCTCTGTTTGAACATACTAATGGCTAATTATAAGGTATCCAACATAGGTACTTCGTATAGGTACTACAGTACATATATATAATATTTGTCCATCGGCAAATA